GTTCTTTATTATTTTTGGGAACAAACTGAAAACTTGTTGTTTTCTGTTACTACTATATGTATATACTAGTATGCTTTGATAATGAATCACAAGTATTGATAGGTCTCTTTAATGCACGTCGTCAAAAACACTTTGTCACAAAATACACGGGATGTCGCCATCCTTCTTTACTTATAAAATGAAAACTTTATAAGAAAATTTTATTGTTATTGTTTCATATCATTTAAAAAAAATGTATCGTATTGCTACATTTCCCCATTCCGAAGGTGACAATAGCAAAAGTTTTCATTTCATAAGTAAATTTTAGACCGAACTATCATAAACAACGAAAAATCCTTAGGTTATTTTCGCAACACTATTGGTTGACACGTTATTGCTTATCAACATTCACTAATAATGATTATTATTTTGCTATTGCATTAAGTCACTAAATTCAACTAAGCTTATCGAACGCGTAGGTTCTTAATGAATATTCTTTGAGGGCAAATAATTTGTCTTGTCTGTAAATGGGCCACTACAATTATTACAACTTTTATTTATATATCTTGTTGAAAATGTCATGCAGATGTTGTTAGAGTTGTAATTTGTTATTAATAAAACGTCTAACGTGAAATTGGTTGAATGATTCATGTAGTGTAATTATTCGCTAGACATTGTAAAATGCAGGTTGATTAAAAATGCAGGATGCCCAGCCGGAGAAACAGTTATTGCGTTTATTTCTGTACACAGCCTTAGGCATTGACACTTCCTTTGGAATATGTACAGATGGACATATTTAGAGGAACTTGAAATGAAAAGTTGAATTATGATAACAACGTTCATTATAAAACACTTTCCGTAGGTACTGCCACCATTATTATAATATACAGTTGAAAGAGCACTTGGGGCAAAAACTGGAAATCGAGAATATAATGTTTAAAGAAATGAAATTACAAAAGTATCTACGTTTCTCTTGCGGTAATTTCATACATTACCCAACTAGAAAAGAATACAAATAGTGACAGACCGGTCTTTTTTTACTAACCACGGCAGTACAGGGTTTATTTTCAGGTTAGTTTTCTCTACCTCGAATACAAGATATTTATTCGCTGTAAATGTAGTTACCATTGCAGGTCTTATAGTATATTATATTAGATCGTACATTTCTCCATAAACTTGGCATGCATGTAAAATACTCACACCAAACATGGCATGTAAAATATTCACGCCATTCTTTTTTCATTTTTGATGCAGCATGCATTAAAGTTAAATTAATACAATATCATAAACAAACAATAACAATTGGAATTTAACCGGAAAATAAGAAGTAAAAAATATAACATGCAATAGTTAAATTTTACATTTTATGTTATCACGTAAAAAATCATCAATATTGTAGTAGCATTGAGTAACCAACAAATTATGCAATTTAATTTTAAATTGTCTATAATTTCCCGGTAATTTATGAAATAATTTGGGTGCTAATACGAACATCGTTCTTCTGTAAAATATTTGGGCCGTATTTCTATTTTATTCCTTGTAATTTCGGTGGCAGTTTCTATTAAGTATTGTAGAATATTGTATGTATAATATGTAATATTTAATATTCGAGTGTAGTATCCTGAAATATTATTTAATATTTCAAGACACTTAAATAATAAAAATTACCAGGAAAATTAGGTAGAGAAAATAAACCTGAAAATTACCCGTATTATATACATAAATTAAAAAAAAAATATGCCATCTCTGTGGAATGTACCTACATATATAACAATAAAAAATATGAATGATTTTATTAATTTTATTACATATATTAAAACTATTGGAGCAATTTATCCAGTTATTAAATATGACTATGAAAAGCCCTTAATTTACAAACTGTTCATATATTAACTACGACCCATTAAAATACTTTACGTTTGCCATAAATGGAAACTTTCTTCATAGTTTCACTAAACTTTATGGGCAATGAATTCACTTTACGGCATATTTATTCCATTTTATGAAGAGATATCTTAAAATGAATAGCTTTTTGTATAATTATTACAGAGTTTAATTAAATTCGCTTACGGAAACGCAAATTGAGCCATCTTGGTTTACTCGCTATTTAATTGTTTTTGTCTTTTCAAGTCAAATAGGAGATTAGGTATTATACATGGACCATCGTCGACCTCATCATCAATTTCCATTAGGTGAGATGGCAGGTCAAATGCGCACTTGCTTCTTACATTGACGACCTCGATGAATCAACTGTGGACCTGAACGTGGCGGTCTTGGTTCCATTCCCGGTTGGACCAATTTTGGAAATGAACTTTTCTAAATTGGTACTTGTCTGCGCGTTTTGGGTAGTGCCCTTGGAGTAAATTACAATCCTCTGATTTTTTTTTATGATACCAAGTGACGGGACGTGCGCCTGATGGTAAGCGATACGCCTGTCCATAGCAGTTGCAGTGCCACTCGGAGATTCAAATCGCAAAGATCTGAGGGACACTGCCACTACGCTTGTCACCTTGAGACATAGGTGACAAGTACCACGTGACCCTTTACAACCGAAACACAGTAATGCTCACATTATTGCTTGGCAGCAAAATAGGTCAGGTGGCGGTACTTCCCTGGATGAACACTTTCACATAGAGCTCTACCTGCTACTAATTTCCTGTACTTTGATACTCAAAGTACAAGGGATTCACTGCTGCAAGACCAAGTATTTGGTGTGGTTATTTGACTCCTTATTATTATTATTATCTATCTTAGACTCTCGCCTCCCCATGATCTAAAAGTTCCTCTTTTAATTTTTAAATGGGAATGGCGCTGTCGGCCAGGATTAGGGACACAGGTTCAAAAACTGCCGAACTATACGTGTCTACGTGCCGTATCGAGCAGGACGGCCTTCTGCATTTATGTTGGAAGCGACACGCTACAGAAACCCAAGTGCTTCAAGTTGTTAGAGAGGCTGACTGGAATTAACCCGTTTGCGGACAAAACCACTGCGGCATTTGTCAACTGATTTTGATAATTTTTTTTGTTGTAAAGAAATGGGACCACTACTGAGATACCCCTCAGTAGTGGTCCCACTTAAATTTGAAGAAAATATTCCACCTTTAAGGGTGGAAAACTTACCGTTAGTAACTATCTTAGTACTCTGTACCGAGATTGTTATTACTTTATATTATAGTCTGTGGTTAACTCGATTGTTTCTGTTCTGTGTTAATTCATTAAAATGTAGCCTAACAATAATAATCTGTTGTAATGAAATAAATAAAATAAAATAATAAAAAAATAACTATACATTCGTAAGAAAGTCTACATTACATTAATAATTTTCTTACTTTCATCTGTAGCCCTAATTGTTTTTGACAAGCCAAGGATACCCAGCAATGTCGGCTTAGGTACTGGCTTTTTCTTTTTTTTTTACGATATTAAGCCACAGAACGAGCAAGTCGTCCGTCTGGTGGCAAGCGACACACCTGGTTTTTTAATCTTAACATCCAAATTTTTTATTTTACCTTTATTTAAAACTAATTCAGTGTTTCCATACTAAATAAACCGAATACTTTTCGTATAATGTTCTCTCAAATGTTAATTACATTGTTGTTGGCATATATAATGTAGATACAATTTAATAACAATTACCAAAGTCAAGGTTGCCTGAACGGGTTTGCTACTTTGTAATAAGTCCGGGTGTACATTTGCTGAAACGGCCCGTTTACTACCTGCATGGTAGTTCGCCGCGCAGGCAGGAGACTGCTCTCACACTATCCTGTGTGTTATGGAGTTACACAGGATGCATTGCAGGACTACAGGACTAGACACGCTGCGACTACATTCATAATCTTGCATTACGGGGCGGACGGTAAGGCGGACTCTTTTCCTCAGATGTACGTGCTTATATTACAGTTCTGTGTGCGTAAAGAAAATTTAATTCATTCATTGAAAAGCATACTACGACAGTTGCTCATACTGCTGCTTTGTTTGCGGAATATCTTCGTACAAAACACATCTGGATAGGTTCTACTAAAACTATTACTACATCACATCGCATCGTCGTCACATCGTCATTCAAGTTAATTTCCAAGCCACTTTCCGGTTTCAATAAAACTTGCCAAATAGATGTAATGAATGACATACTTTTGAGGGCGGTTTTGTTTATATAAAAATTTTGTCGGATCTAAATTTAGTATATTTATTTTTTCAAACAAACCAACGTTACGGGCCTTTTACAAGTACCATATTCACGGCTGACACTCAGAGCTTCAAATCGCAAAGATCTCTAATGGTCACGCGACCAAATGAAATACTTACTGTTGTATGTTTCCCAGTGATATGAAATTGGAGTGCAAATGTTGCAAATATATATGATGTTTAGATACAATAGCCCGTTCCGTACTCTTGTTCCGCAAAAGACGCAAGCACACCTTGCACTAAAGGTAAAGCCGGCACTGCTCTGAACACTGTGCGTATATTTGTTTTCAAAAATGTATTTTGTCACTTCAGTTTCGTCACTTTACTATTGATAATAATAATAATAATAATAAATAAAAGAGTTTAAAATAAATACGATAATAATAATAATAAGTGCGTTATTTATGTACATTAACTTAACAGTTTATAGCCTTAAATAAATAAGATCGACACATATGAGAAAGTAAGACATCGATATTATGTAGATAAAAAGGTTAGAGTCTCAGCTTAACCTGTTTTTCAGACAGTCTACCTTTTTGGTGAAACTGGCTACATTTTATAAAAGTGGTTATATGACGCGTCTCGACTAGCTCCAATAAAATGGTCACTAAACAATAAATATATGTACAACTTGAGTACGGGCTACACCGCGAACGAAGCTAAGCTCACTTGGCTCAGCTTAACTGACGTAGCTGAATGCAAAGTCAAGCTAAGAGAATACGTAGTCTTCTTTTTATCGTATCGATGACATTCTCTATTCTGTAGTGGTCCAGAACTCGGCCACGCCGACCGCGTCACTTGCAGCCGCCATTAAATCCTCGAGAGTGCAGTTGTTGGGGCACGCAGGGCACGATATGAGGTGAGCCATCGTTTGAGTCGCACCGCACATGCAGTCCAGGTTAGCACCATCCGAAAATCCCCACCTGAACAATTTGCCCTTGCTCCGACCAACCTGAGTTCGAAGCCTATTCAAAGACGTCCAGATCAGCTATGGCAATTCGTGTTCAGGAGGAAGAGTAACAGAAGGCGGGACAAACGTAAATGGTACTCTTTCGCGCCAAAGGTTGCACGCACGTACTACGTAGTAAGTAGTGACTATAGATGGATGGACTACAGATGAATGCGTGCGGGGGTGAAGGGTGGCGAAGGGGCAACATATTTTACATAGCTTAGTGGGATCATTGGGTTCATTTGGTTAGATCGGATAGCTTAGTTCGTGGTGTGAACCGAAGTATGAATAGGCTACGTGAGCTAAGCTAAGTTAGCTTAGCTCCGTTCGCGGTGTAGCCTGCGCTTTACACTTAAAACTATGATCATATTGAGGGTCCCATAATATGTCTAATGGCGGAAGTAACCACTTCATCGTCACAAATATTAACTGTAATAATATTGGCGGATGTAACAGTCACAAGTTTGCTCATAAATTTTCTGTTTTTTCACACAGCAACTGTAGCTGATATCGTCGATGCCACCGGCGCCTTGGGGCTAATCTATTATTTAATATAAGGTCAAACGCGATGGTAATCGGAAAACTTGTCGGAACAAATTACACACTACCGAGTCACAAAAAAACGAAAAAAAAAAACAATAATTAGACTTGTAACTTGACTGTGTGAAATTAGATACATGTGTTTCTGTCGATTCGGACAAACTAAATTTAATTTATGATCAGTGCATCTTCTTAAGAGCCCATTTTTCATTTTAGTTTAGAACTTCCAATTTAGTCGCCGTCCTAGTCTACTTTCATAAACTTACTAGACGCCATATATACCGACTCATCCGTAGAACAAAGATCTATGTGCACGACTATTTGTTCTCAGAACATAGTACATTTCGTTAGTTCTTCTTTGCTGTAGATGTCAGGTCGACTGCTGTTCGATTCTATATTTCCGAAACGAAATAAGTTATATAAATTCTCAAAACATCATTACGTAGGCCTTACTTTGGATGACGAAATTATTCACGTAATGCACTTATTCTCTTTTCTCTACATAATCATATCGAACACTGTTCTTCGGATGAGTCGATGCATCACAACTGTATTGAGCTGTCAATATTTGATAGCTTTAAAGCTCTTAGAAATAAAATTAAATCACCCCATTTTCTTGATGATGACGGTTCACGTCCGTAGACGATTGTGACAGATTAATACTTTAGTTCAAGTTTGTCGAATCGGTACCGTTAGGTTAGTGTACTGTAAAATGTGTTTTTTTAAAAATTGATTTCGACCTCTCTTGCCACGTGTTCCAATTTTCCCGATGACGCAAATATAAAAGTATTATTTTAAGTATAATACTACAGTTTATTATGGTTACCCCTAGCATGGAAGTCATACACCGATTACAACGCGTTTTGGAATATTGGTAAGAAGTAGGTCAGGATCTTCAGCTCATAATTGAGGTGTGTCGGGGTTTTTGGCCGACTTCAAAAAAGAAGATTCCCTATGTCTATTATTTTCTATACTACCAACTACCGGCGGTCTCGGTCAAGGCTATTGGATAAGGAAGTCCCGGGTTCGATTCCCGGTAGGACGAATAAGGGAAATGTACTTTTCTAAATTAGTACTGATCTGGGTGTCCTGGAGTAAGTACTGTTATCTGCCCTGGTCTTCATAGTACTCGTACATGACATTCCCTAGTTTGAACTGAGGCCACTGGTGTGATTGTCTGACACGTTGTCAAAATTAACTAATGCAGTTAAAATGTTTAAACAAAACGCTATGTTATATGTGTTTTAATTATAACTTAATATACAACACAAGGAAGTGAATGACTCATATATTTCGACCAATAAACGCCTTTGTGAGGATATCTAAACAAAATCTATACACTCTAATAAGTGTTACTTAAATAATGACTCAATGCCTTATTTACGTTCGGTCACACGCATGATTCTAAAGTATTAAAATCAACTCTATGATACGATAAGAGACGAGCCAAAGTGTACATTCCGGCTTATTTACGTCATACATAAGAGAGCACTTGTTAATATATGAGTGTATTACATTTTTTGAAGAAAGAAAAAAATATTTACTAGTTCTTTGGTGCATAGTACAGCGCCCCTCTACCCTGTGAAAACAATGTACTGTAACATAAAAAAAGAGCATTTTGAGAAAAAGCTGCAAAATTATTTTTCGTTTTTGTAACTTTTGAAGTTAATAACATAAACACATGTCACAGATGGCGCTACGGCAACAACGTCGTTAAAAAACCAAAAGAAAGATCTGCAAGAATCACAAAGAAATATTCGTAAGGTCTGTTGGTTCGTTCCGAGGCTTAGTTGGCAATGCGTCTGGCACAGTCTTGCTAGAAGACGTTGGTTCGAATCCAGCCGGATTTAAGGATTCCTTTCTAATCTTTGTATTCATAATTATAACAAACTAGTGTCATTCAACTAGACTCATTTCACAAAATATAATTTAATTACCATTGTGGTGAAATATCCTTACATTCAATAAAAACTTAATAAAAGAATAAAAGATACATTTAACACAGTATGTTTTACACAATATTTATGATTTCAAAGAATTCTATCCAGCCATTATAATTTTACATTGCAATATAGCTAGCTATTTTTGTTAAAAACGAATAAATTTATTTTCCTTTGACGACAGCCGAAAGATTCTTGTTGTAATGGAATTATAAAATACTGTTTTGAGACTTCCAGTGTTTTGGTTTGACACGATTGCCCTAGCGGTCACAAAAATAAGTAACATGTAGTACTTGTATCTTAAAGGATGGAAAAGGAATAAAAATGTAGATATATCAATATTTTACGCGGTTGCTAACGCCAAATGTCATTGATGGTAGAGGCACTGTGTAGTAATACTTTGGATATTATAAATTGTAATCGTTCGTTCCTTCAATTTACCATCTAAGCACAACATGCCAGTGATTCCCCGAATTGAATCAAAAATTACATTTGACAAAAGCATGTTATCAATTATTAAGTTTAAAATGCTTATTACTACTTGCAATAACTATCATATAAAAAAAATAAGTTAACAAATCGAATTGGGTATAATAAAAAAAAAACTAAATGGCAATACTAAAAGATATTGATGGTCCTATGAGGATCACAGACCACATAGGATGGTTGGAAAGAAAACAAAGGAGATGGAAGTGAATTAACGAGCTAAAAGTTATCTTTTCAGAAATGATATACGTATTTACCGGATTACAATAATGTGTGTATAGGTTTATTGTTTTATTTTAAAATACATGCTTATACTTATACATACTAAGCTGATTGTAGTACAGTGAACAAGTGGTAGCTTAAAAATGACGTTTTTTAGTGAAAATTTATCTTACGTGGAATAAATGATTATATGACTTTGACTAGGTAATTATTTATAAATTTTAAGACACGTAGCCTTACACGATTATCTATCTTTCTTTGCATGAACATTAATTTAAAATAAAAACAAATATGTGATAATTAAATGAAAATATTATACATTTTTAACATAATATACCTGTGCACACATTTAAGCAAATTATTTCCGGCACTCGAGTAGTGAATATTCAAAAATGAATATGATTAATTCAACTTACTAATGATCGTGTATTCAGTAAAATGTGTTTAAAATTACTATGACAAGGTCATTGTGTACGGAGATTTATTAACACTGAGACTTGTATTTATAACTCGAGTTCAGGATTGAAATTAAGAGTTTACTTAGTCAATAATAAAAAAGTCAGTGCTGCTTCTTGAAGACACGCTAAACCTGAAAGTTTTTAAAATTTTTGTCCATGCCTTTGTGCACGCTAATATATTCATTGGCTGAACCAATTTGGATGTGGTTTTCAGTGATATATTCGAATAAGCTTGGATTAACATTTTATTCTTTCATTTAAATCGGTTGACAAATTAAAAAGATATGTACATTTTAAAACGTATCTCGCGCGCACAAATCGGTGCGTATGCACCATGCGTATGACCGAACGATTGAATACATACATGTATGTGAACATAGTGCTGCAAAAATATTAGTCCTTAGCAGATCTCCAAAAAAGTCAGCGACACGATATACCTAGCTTTTATATTTGAGTCACAATGACGGGCTATACTTCATTTTTTTTAATAATACCAAGTGATGGGACGAACAAGTCGTGCGCCTGAGGGTTAGTGACACGCCTGTCCATAACAGTTGAAGTGTCACTCAGTGCTTTGAATCACAAAGATCTGAGGAGCAATGCCACTGCGCTCTTCACCCTGCGACATGAGTTGATAAGTTCTATGAGTCTGTAATTGCACCAGCACCCTTATCCCTCGAAACCGGAACGCAGTAATGCTTACGTTACTGCTTGCCAGCAGAAATAGGTAAGGTGGCAGTACTTCCCTGGACGAACTCTTTCACAAGGAGCTCTCTCCACTGATACAAAAAACTACTAGTACAGTAATACTATTGATGATTTACTTTAAAGGTGGTTTTGATGATTCACTACCGACTTTGGTTCGATAACGATTACAAAATACAATGCAGCACGTGCGCCCGCGCAGTCTGCGTCGCTGTTGTGCCTACGCTGTTCCGGCAAAAACACTTTCATTCCGACCGTGGCCCGGTGTAGCGAAGGTTAGCCGATACTATGGCCCTTTGTCGTTGTTTAATATAATATTTAGATGTGTATCATGTTTAGATTGGCGTTTTAACATACATGAAGCACATGCAGTACATGCAATTCATGTATTTTCGACAACTCCCGCTTAGACATACAAACTGTAAAGTTTTTACTGGTTGTTAATTCTGTTCTGAGCAGTAGAGCTCCGTGTGAAAGAGTTCGTCCAGGGAAGTACCATATCCATTTCTGTCGATAAGAAGTAATGTGAGCATTATCTACTGCGATTTTGAAAGATAAG